TTAATTATCTAATTTTTTTCTTTTTTTGGTCCTTAAATGACCTCTTTTAAGATTCAAACTTCCTCATTTCTAATTATTGAATTCTAAGATTTGGGGAGGGATGAAATCCCTGTTCACTTTGTCTAATACCTTACATCTTTCTGACTAAACAGGCGTTGGTTGTACTCTGACTCAGACTTTATCCTTATAGACAAAGATCTTTTGTTTTGTGGTTCTTACTTATTATATTACCACAATATTATCCTACTTTGAAAACCACATCTCCACTTCTGATCAAATCATCAAGAAACTATTAACTTAGATCTTATATTCAATATAGCCAGACACAAACTAAGTTATTGGGAATATCACTGCAAAACATACCTTAAGACTTCCCTACCAGGACCAGGAATGCATGATTAGGTTGGTTGGCTTGGTTTTGCTTTTGTGATTCATTTTTCCCTGTATTGCTCAGACTAATATTAAATTCTGAGAACATGCACCCAGGTGGGAGGAGTGCCGACAGCCCAGAAGAAATCTCCATGACAGGAGAAAGCCAGTCACAAATGGACAGATTTGCTGTGACTAATCCATAAGTGGCCACTTGAGAGTTGTTGTGAAATTTAGGAAAGAACTGGACAGGAAGCTAGGCGAGGGTGGACAATGACAATACCCCAGATCTCTTTCAGAAACAAGTCTTGGCTGCATTTCTAAACATTGCCAGACTTTCAGAACAAACTTTCAGGCAGGTAGAGGCGAGAACCCTCTGTACATCTTGTGAATGAGTCCTAAGAATTCTTCTGTCCCCAAACAACCCCCTACCAGGGTGCCTCTGTGCCTAAATGGTACATCCTTTCTAGGATAAAAACTTCAATATTGCCCTCTCTAAGCTCTTAAACTGCAAGTACTTCCAGGTTCATTTAACACTCCCAGATTCTGAGAGAACTACGAACCAAAGAGAGAGACTCTTTAAGGAACCAAAGGGAGAGACCCTTTAAGGGAGAAAAAGGCCCTGTGAGCTTTTGAATTGCTGAATATGCACTTGATGTTGCACTCATGTTGACTTGAGGAACTTGTTGAGCTCAGGCCAAGAATCTAGCTGATCTGACATTTCCTTTTGAACTTTCTGAGCAACTGGCGTCAACAGCTTCCCACTCTAGGAATAGCCTTGCCTTTTCCATTTTGATTGGTTTATTCCTAGGCTAAAACATGCTCAACAGGCACAGAGCAGGGACTGAAAGGAATTCTGGCACCACTGAGAGACCACAAAATACCAGCCCCCCACACACCAAACAATTCATAAAAGAAAATGAGCAATGTCTTGTTTGTCTGTTTCTTTCCCTAGTGATTCAAGAAAACAAGAACTTGAACTAGCAAGAAGTAGTAAAATGGTTGTTAGAAAGCATGTCTGAACAGAAAAACGAGCCGATTATCAGGCTGATAACTTAGTTCCTCAATTCACTTAAGTCCTAAATGACAAGAGTAAGTAATGACCTCTTCTTAAAGTATTAGATAAGGGCTGAGCAGTGGCTCACCCCTGTAATCTCAGCACTTTGGGAAGCCTGGGCAGGAGGATCACTTGAGCCCAGGAGTTCAAGACCAGCCTGGGCAGTCTAGTGAGACCTTGTCTCTACAAAATAAAAATTTAAAAATTAGCCAATTTAGAAGTTTCAAAAAATTAACTGGCAGTGGTGGTGTGTGCCTGTAGTCCCAGCTTCTCGGGAGGCTGAGGCAGGATTGCCTGAGCCCAGGAGGTCGAGGCTGCAGTGAGTCATGATCATGTCATTGCACTTCAGTCTGAGCAACAAGCTTTTTAAAAAGTAAATATTATATAGGGGTAAGAAGGAGCACTGAAACGTCTTCTGAAATCCTTGTCATCCCTGACTCAGCAAAGGGGCTACACTGCTGACCTAAAGAAACAATTAGAAGTTTCCCTCCTTGACTCCTGGGTGGATTCTAGTGTCCAGATCTCCAATATATTTTGCTATGTATTGAGAAAAAGAATAGTTCCTGGGATCTCTGGCTAAATGGCATGGCCAAGTGGTCCCTGACTACTACACAAGAACCAGTTAAGCATACCTCATTTGAGTAACATCTTTCATTGTGCCTGCTCTTTGGGCCCACTTGCCGGGATTCTGTGGGACATATCACTGTCCAAAGAAAGAGGCATCATTCCTTCCCAGTCTTCAGTGTCTAGATGAGGACAGAAGAATCAAGGACTATTTCTGTTTTCTTCTCATGTATTAGTCAAAAGAAGGTTTATGATCTTCGGAAAAGCCTGGATTCTGGTCAAGGAAAGGAGATAGTAATTGGCCCATTTTTTTTTCTTTTACTTTTTTTTTTTGAGTTGGAGTCTCACTGTGTCACCCAGGCTGGAGTACAGTGGCACATTCATGGCCACCATAGTCGTGGCCTGCTAGGCTCAGGTGAAGGTGATCCTTCCACCTCAGCCTTCCAAGTAGCTGGGGCTGCAGGCGTGCACCACCACACCTGGCTAATTTTTTGATTTATTGTAGAGATGAGGTCTTGCCAAGTTGCCCAGGCTGGTCTCGAATCCTGGGCTCAGGCAGTCCTCTTGCCTCTGCCTCCCAAAGTGCTGAGATTACAGGTGTGATCCACCACACACAACCTCTTTTTTTTTTTAATTTTAAAGATGTAGGGTACAATTCAGGGTTAGGTACATATGTGGTCATCGTACAGGTAAAGTTTGGGCCTCCCTTTTGTTCCCACTTCACCTGGTTTGAGATCAGGTACCTTTATTGATGTTATGTGCTTCCCCCCCAGCAGTGTCCCACTGCTACCCATCCCTTTCTTATAATATTATGATAAATGTTCAGGGTCTGCTTATAAGTGAGTACATGTGGTACTCAGATCTTTGTTTCTGTGATAGATCATTATAGACTCTAAATCCAAGTTGCTGTGAAGTCTATAATTTTGATTTATTTTATGGCTGCATAGTATTCCATTGTGTATATGTACCATATTTTCTTTATCCAGTCCACTTTTGATGGACAGCACAGTTGGTTCCATGTTTATGTTTTTGTGAATAATGCTGTGATAAACATGCAGGTGCAGGTATCTTTTCTGTAGAATGATTTGAGTTCCTCTGGGTATATTCCCAGAAGGGGGACTGCTGGGTCATATGGAAGGTCAATTTTTAGATTTTTTAGGAATTGCCATACTGTTTTCCACAGAGTTGTACTAGTTTACACTCCCACCAACAATGTGGAAGCGTTCCTTTTTCTCCACATCCTCACCAGCATCTGTTTTTTGAGTTACTAATGATGGCCATCCTGACTGGAGTTAGGTGGTATCTCAGTGTGGTTTTAATTTGCATTTCTTTGATGATTAGTGAGGCTGAGCATTTTTCATGTATCTGTTGAGCATGATTTCATATATCTGAGAAGTGTCTATTCATATCCTTTGCTCACTTTTTTTTTTTTTTGAGTTGGAGTCTCACTCTGTTGCTCAGACTGGAGTGCAGTGGCCACTCCTGGCCACCGCAGCCTCGACCTGCTGGGCTCCAGCGATCCTTCCGCCTCAGCCTTCCAAGTAGCTGGAACTACAGGTACACGCTACCACATCCAGCTAATTTTTTAAAATTTATTATCGAGACGAGATCTCGCCAAGTTTCTTGGGTGGGTCTTGAAACTGTGGGCTCAGGCAATCCACTCGCCTTGGCCTCCCAAAGAGCTGGGATTACAGGCTGAGCCACCAAGCCCAGCCTTTGCCCACTTTTTAAAGCATTGTTTGGTCTTTTTCTTTCAGTACGCTTGAGTTCCTTATAGATCCTGTATGTAAGGCCTTTGTCAGATATACAGTTGGCAAATATTTTTTCAATCTTCTGTATGTGGTCAGCCTCTTTTTTTTTGAGTCAGAGTTTCACTCTGTCGCCCAGGTTGGTGTGCGTTGGCATGCAGTGGTACTGCAGCCTCAAACTTCTGGGCTCAAGCAAGTCTTCTGCCTCAGATTCCAAGTTAGCTGGAACTACATGCATGCACTACCATGTGCAGCTAATTTTTTGGAATTTATTGTAGAAAATGAGGTCTCACCATGCTGCCCAGGCTGGGCTCAGCTAATCCTCTTGCATTGGCTTCCCAAAGTGCTGGGATTATAGGCGTGAGACACTATACCCGGCAGTACTTAGCCCATTTTTAACAAGTTATTTTTTGTTGTTTCGTATGAGATATGAATTATTTCATGACTTGGAGGCAGGCATTGTGGTAATATACCTCAAAAGATCAAGGATCTCATCTGAAATCTTCTCATTTCCCTTATTACTTACGGACACCCATTAACTGATTTAACCCCTTTTTTGACAACTGCTGTTTATATCTTTAGCGAGTTCCACCTAAATTTATTTGTACTTATGTAAAGTTTTGTTTGTTCTACCTTTACTTCCTCTTAAATCACATATTCCTATCTTCTGTATTTGGTGCATAAGTCTATATTTACTCTTTCCATTCTTTTCATGATTTTATAGACGCATCGTGTTCTTCCCTAAATTTCATCTTTCTAGACCAGAAGTTTGTACCTGAGAGGAGAGGGATACAGAAAAGAGAGGAGGAAATTTATCACAAACTTCTGGAGAGTGTTTCCAAATACAATGTGTCTGATGTCCCCTTTCCTGATCATAACAAACCCTTGGCTGGGGAAATTTGTGTTCTGAGAATTTTCACATCTGAGTCTAATGGTCAACTCCTTCTATCCTGTTGTAACTATTGTTCTGAGCTGAAGAGTCCTAATCTGTTTGTTCTGTTTTCATAAGGCACTTTCTTCATTTCTGTGTTAGCTCAAGTATGGCATCAAATTTCCATTCTATGTGTAACTGACAGTAGTTAGAGATTACAACAAAAGTTTGCAATCATAAAAATTAAGTTGGTACTTAACTATGGAGGTTGGAGAGCTATTAGACATTTCCTGATGCAGGTCTGCATTATCCAATAGCTTTTCCTTCACTTGCTTTTCTTTCAGCAATCTTCTCTGAACAGATTTCTTCAAGTGACTAAAGGCAACCTGTGATGGAAGGGGTCAGCAACAGCTCCTCAGAGGGCTTCGTTCTGATGGGCGTATCTGACCATCCCCAGCTGGAAATGATCTTTTTTGTAGTCATCCTCTTCTCTTACTTGCTGACCCTACTTGGGAACTCAACCATCATTCTGCTTTCCTGCCTAGATGCACGGCTCCACACACCCATGTACTTTTTCCTCAGCAATCTCTCCTCCTTGGACCAAGCTCAGTCCCCCAAATGCTGCTCAATTTATGGGGACCAGACAAGACCATCAGCTATGGTGGCTGTGTGACCCAATTGTACGCTTTCTTTTGGCTGGGGGCCACTGAGTGCGTCCTGCTCGTGGTGATGGCGTTTGACCGCTATGTGGCAGTCTGCCAGCCCCTGCAGTACACCACCATCATGAATCCTCGGATCTGCTGGTTGCTGGCTGCGATGGCCTGGTTGGGCGGCTTGGGCAACTCTGTGATCCAGTCAACATTCACTCTGCAGCTCCCACTGTGTGGGCACCGGAAGGTGGACAGCTTCCTCTGTGAGGTGCCAGCCATGATCAAATTGGCTTGTGGGGACACGAGTCTCAATGAGGCTGTGCTCAATGGTGTCTGCACCTTCTTCACTGCAGCCCCACTAAGCATCATCCTGATCTCCTACTGCTACATCGCTCGGGCAGTGGTGAAGATTCGCTCCTCAGGGGGGCAGCCAAAGGCCTTTAATACGTGCCTCTCCCATCTAGTGGTGGTGTTCCTCTTCTATAGCTCAGCTAGCTATGGGTATCTGCTTCCAGCTAAGAACAGCAACCAAGACCAGGGCAAATTCATTTCCCTATTTTACTCTGTGGTCACACCCATGGTGAATCCTCTCATCTACACACTGAGGAACAAGGAAGTGAAGGGGGCACTGAGACGGCAGCAGGGGAAAGGAAGAGAAGCTGGCTGAGCGAAGAGAGAACACCTCCATTAGTTATTGTCTCTTCATCTCTACACACTTTTCTGATTATCTCTCTGGCCAGGTGAACATAAGGAGTACTAACTCCAGTAAAACCAAAGAAAGTTCCTGACAACCCTAATCTGTTGGGATATGATTAGTGTTATATTTTTTCATTGTTTCACTTTTGCTTTTTTTGAGTTGAGGTCTCACTGTCACCCAGGCTGGAGTGCAGGAGTATGATAATGGCTCACTGCAGCCTCGAACTCCTGGGCTCAAGTGATTCTCAGTCTCCCAGGTATCTGGGACTACAGGTGTGAGCTACCATGCCCAACTAGTTTTTTGATTTTTTGTAGAAGCAAAGTCTTGCTATGTTACTCAGGCTGGTCTCAAACTCTTGGGTTCAAGCAATTCTGCTTTGGCTTCCCAAAGTGCTGGGATTACAGGCATAAGTCACTGAGCCTGGCTGTGTTATTTGTAATGTTCTACACCTATTTACCAAAAATCCTGCTGTGGACTACAGATAACATGGCAGACATGTTGTCAAAGGCTCAGATGTTTTTGACCTAGCACAGACCTATCTCACTGTCTCTATTGTCCATGTGCTATTTATTATACCTTGTATCTCTACAGAATTGTGTACTTTTCTAAACAAAACACCTCCACTTGAAGTATCTTATATAATGTTATTCAAATTCCACAAAATTGAACAATGTGTTAACTTCACATGAAGGCCCAAACAATTCATCTTTGTCCACCTATCTTTGTCTCCTCTCCTCCTCCTTCTCTTTCTTCTTTTACTTCTGTTTTTTGAAACAGGGTCTCACTCTGTTACCCAGACTGCAGTGCAGTGGCATGATCACTGCAGCCTTGAACTCCTGGACTCAGGCAATCCTCCAGCTTCAGCTTCCCAAATGGCATGTGCCACAAAGCCCAGCTAATATTTTTCTTTTTTTGTAGAGATGGGATCTCGCTATGTTGCTCGGGTTGTCTCTCTCTTTTTTCTTTTCTTTTTCTTTTTTTTTTTTTTTGAGTTGGAGTCTCACTCTGTCACCCAGGCTGGAGTGCAGTGTCATGCTCATGGCTACCGCAGCCTTGACCTGCTGGGTTCAGGTGATCATGCCTCAGCCTTCCAAGCTCAGTTCCCCAAATGCTGCTCAATTTATGGGTACCAGACAAGACCATCAGCTATGGTGGCTGTGTGACCCAACTGTACGTTTTCCTTTGGCTGGGGGCCACTGAGTGTGTCCTGCTTGTGGTGATGGCGTTTGACCGCTATGTGGCAGTTTGCCAGCCCCTGCAGTACACCACCATCATGAGTCCTCGGATCTGCTGGTTGCTGGCTGCGATGGCCTGGTTGGGTGGCTTGGGCAACTCTGTGATCCAGTCAACATTCACTCTGCAGCTCCCACTGTGTGGGCACCAGAAGGTGGACAGCTTCCTCTGTGACAAGTGGGGGATCCCTTTGGCAATTAGCTGGAACTACAGGCATGCACCACCACACCCAGCTAATTTTTTGATTTATTGTAGAAATGAGGTCTCACCAAGTTGCCCAGGCTAGTCTCGAACCTGTGGGCTCAGACAATCCTCTTGCCTCCACCTCCCAAAGTGCTGGGATTATAGGCGTGAGCCACCATGCCCGGCCAGGCTGTGTCTCATAATACTGTAGTCTGTCTACCAGTACTTTTCATCCATGTCTCTCTGTCATCTTGTTTACCCTCTCCTTTATGTCTACATTCCAATTTTCTCTTCTGTCTAATCTCATAATTAATGAGACAAGGTAGGAAAGGCCATTTTTCTTTCAAATCTAGCCAAAGAAGATATAGTTGTATTTAAACCATCCCACCTAAAAGTCCGAGCCATCAGGTTTGTTACCAGCATTTGGATATGCTAATCTGGTTGGTGGATGATAGAAATGTCCTAAGATTCCTTAAGCAAGTTCAAGAGTCCAAGAAAGACCATCCATCTAAAAAGCATGTCCTCTACCTCAAGATCTAGTGTTTCAGTCCTGCAGCTCCTAAAACTCAGCAATCCATCCAGCACACAATGACTTACCTCAAGGAACTCGTGTATTGGGATCAGATGCCAATATGTGATTCTGCATGTTACTAAAATTGCCAAAGGGATCCCCCACTTGCCACCAAGTTCATATACTATTTCCCTACACAGAAAAGTTAATATGAGAAAGGTTGCTTGGCAACTATATTACTATAGAAAAGGAAATCAATATGTTTTAGAACTAGTTTCCAAAGGGTCTTCAGCTTTGTTCCCACAGCACCAAAATGCATGCCTTATACATAGTAGATGCTCAATAAATTCTCAATAAATAAATGAATTAACAAGATGAATTAACAAGATTCACCAGTCCCTCTTTTTCATGCTAAAAATCAAATTTGTCAAATGGACCACTTTCATGTTTGCCACTTTGGGGTCATTCTGTCTCTAGGACAACACTGAGCAAACTATGATAAATTTTCCCCTTTCCACATTTCTATAACTCCTGCCAGAGACCTCTAATCATATTTCCCTGTCCTGAATTTGTTTTTCCAGTTGCAGATCAAAGTCATGAACTAGTTGGTCAGTTTCTCACACAGCAATACTGAAGTATGTGTCCAGGACTATACAACTAGTAGCATTACTTGATGAATTCATTAAAGCCCAGAGTCCTGCAGGCTCAACGTTTCTATTGATCAGCAAACTCAGATTAAGTCACGTTCTCAGGAGGCAGGCTCATAATGACCAAGCTCCTAAAGCTCATACATAAACTAAAATACCAGCTCATTAATTTATGAAAACAGTAACTACCAGTCATATCATTTAAGTTGTGAAATAACTTGGAGGGAAATAGGAAGAAAATAGGTACTCTGTAGCCTAGACTGGAGGGCAGCAGCACAATTATGGCTCACTGCAGCCTTAGACTCCTGCACTCAAGCAATTCTCCTTCCTCTGCCTTGGGAGTAGCTAGGAGTGCATCACCACGCCCAGCTAATTTTTAATTTTTTCCTAGAGGCGAGGTCTTGCCATGTTTTCCAGGCTGGTCTAAAACTCCTGCCTAGGCCTCCCAAAGTGCTGGGATTACAGGCATGAGCCACTGCACTGGCAAAAGTGCAGGTTGCTTGGTTTGTTTTTAAAAATGAAGACTATATATAGAAACAGAATAAAAAGTTAAGATATAATCAACGAAGAAAATTACATATTAAGGTCCAGAAAGATGGACTAATAACAGTTACTTTCTCTAGGGAGGGAGTGTAGTTTGGGAAGTATGAAGAGACTTCATTTTTAAGTGAGAATATTTCGCAGCACTTACTGCAATATTTAAAAATGAAAACAGCTTGGAGAGGAAAAACAACAAAACTGGTTTAGAAACTTGTTCTAGTCCCACCTGTCATCAGAATGTCAAACTGTTTCGGTTTCCTCTTCTGGAATATAAAAATGGTAATATTATTGACTCCGCAGGATTGGTGTGAGAATGAGTTAGCATGTAAATGTGTAAGTTATGCCTACCACATAGCAAGGGCTACGTTTTCTATCATGGGAATACAGACGTCACCTCATCTTGTAAAACTGGGATGTGTGCTCAGCTAGATCCGGGACCCGCATTGTTGATTGGTCCGAGTACGACAGAAGGCGGATCCTGTCGTCTCATTGGGAATAATTTCTGTCAATTATCAAAGTGGTGAAGACGGTCCTTTCGTGCTGCGCTGGCCTGACCCACTTTCCCGGCTTAGCGTTTGCGCATGCGTCTGGTCCTCTCGCGGCCCCGGCGTGCCCCGCGACAGCTTCCGGCGTGACGCCGTGGAAAAGATAGCGTGCCTGGTGAATCGCGCTGGTGAGTGGTTCTTCCGGTGGGGCGGGGCCCAAAGGTTGCGGCTCAGTCTTCTGTCCTGCTGCACTCCGCTTGGTTACTGGGTCCCGGGATGCAAAAACTCGGAGTGGCAGTGTGAATCAGTGTGACTGTCTGGGGCGGCAAGGAGGGAGGCCGCCGGCGTTCGGCCCTATTGCCCTTCGGAGCTCCCGTCTGTTCAAATTTCCCGGTGAAGACGCTTTTGAAGGACTCGGTGCTTCTTGCGGTTTACACGTGTAAAACTTTCACTGAAGTCCTGTTGCATCCTTGTGCTGAGCGGTGGGGACACAAAGAAAACCAGACACGCTCTTTACCCCCGTAGAGCTCCCAAACTGGTGGAGTAGATAAACCCACCTGAAATAAATTCGTGTTAGATGGGTTATGAAGCATCCTGAGAGATAGTTACAGACAAGGCCGAGGAATTCAGAAGATAGTGGTAGTGGTGTTACCAGCCCTCATCCTGTGAGTTTCTTGTCTTCTTTGATGGTGCACTTTGAGGGTATTACACTTTTCTTTTTGGGGGGGGTGAGGAGAGGGAAGGAGGGAGGGAGAGCGAACGCGCGTGCCTGCCCACATATTTTCAATGCCTAGGCATAGGTGCCCTTCCTTCCCGGTTGGGAGGATGGAGACCAGCAGTGCCTCGTGTTTATTGTCTTCTGAGAGAACGGATCAGCCTTGGGGAAAGAGTATTTCAGGAGGAAAACGTTTGGTGAGCAGAGGCGTGAATATGCTCCTAGACCAAGGGTTCTTAATAAGGGGCGATTTTGCCCCCTCAGAGGACATTTGGAATCCGGAGACAATTTTGTTCTCACAACTGAGGGTGCTCCTGGCATCTAGTGGGTGGAGGCTGAGGATGCAGCTAAACATCCAAGTCACAGGATCCTCCCACCCACCCAAGAACTCAAAGAACTATCTGGACAAAAGTGTTTGTAGTTCTGAGATTCAAAGACCCAGCCCTAGAATTGTAGTAATGGAAATGGAGGGAGAACAGATGTCAGAGACATCTCAGCCTGAGATCATGTTGCCCAGGCTGCTCTCAAACTCCTGGGCTTAAGCAATCCTCCCATCTCAGCCTCCCAAGGTTCTGGGGTTACAGGTGTGAGCCACCACTCCTGGTCTCCTAATTTCACAGGGTTACTTTCTATTGGGTACATCAAACATCTCTGGCAGCAAGGGCAGTTGAGCGGTATGGGATGGAGCTGGAGTTAAAACAGGGCTCTGCAGAGGGACTTCTTACCTATCTTAGTCAGCCCTGGCCAGGCCTAGGCAGCAATCAACTGTCTTTTCTCCATTACTTCTGAGACACTTGGGGCATTCATGGTGACCTACTGGCACCCAAGGAAGAGAACCTGATTTTACTCTAGACTGATAAACAAGTTTTCTGAACAGGCTTATGTAGACTAATTCAGCCCGTATAGGGTGAACCTGAATCAGAAGATATTATCAGAGGGATAGAAGATCCCATTTGAACATGTCAGGTACCTTGGCCATTGAGAAAGAATGAAAACATAACTGAAATAGTACAGAGCTCAGGTATCTAACAAAGTCTAAGATGCCAAGTGACAGGGTAGGGAAGTGTGTGGATGAACAGATGAAGCCCTACTGTATGCTTAGCCAGCTCCAGGAACCCCAGAGAGCTCTCTGCTTGTGCTTGGGTATATAATTTTTACATGTGACATGCCAACTTACTGTCATAATCTGTGTCTTGGTTTAAAGTCTTGACTTGTGAAAAAAATCCAACTGGGGAATCCAACAGACACTGTCTCAATGGTAGTTAAGGGGGTTGGATGGTTTTTATCCTTTCTTTTTTTTTTTTTTTTGAGTTGGAG